TATATGCACTTTCTTATTTATGTATTTTATATAATACAATTTTTTATCGAAAAGTACTTTTTGCATTTTATATAAAAAAACGATGCGACTTTAAAAGATTGAAAAATTACATAAAGTTGCATAGAGTTATGCGATATGAGGCAAATATTAAATTATTTACTACTCATTGAGTATGAATAAATTCTTTAGTTTCTCTCTATAAAAATTAATGAAATAATAATAATAATAATGAAAAATAGTGAAAAACACACTTTTTTTAAATACAAGAAATATAAGTTCATTTAAATTAGTAAATAAATAGGAATCAAATTACAATCAATTAATACAAATTATATAAACATTATTATTATTATTATTATTATTATAAAAAATACAGTTTTACAATTATATTTCTCTTCGAAAAATAGTTTCATTTTTAATAAGCAAAGACAAATTAAGGAACGTATTTTCTATTGAGCAAATAATAGAGGAAAAAATATTTTCATTAACCTAGAAGTATGCTATTTGCAATTACCTTAGATGCAATGGAATTTGATTGTCAATAATTACAATTAAATAATATAAATATATACATCATATGTGTATATATATGTAAATTTTGTCTATTCTATAATGGTATTCTGTAATCTCATAAAGCGTTTAAATAGGATACAAATTAATTATATATTCCATAATGCAGAAAAAATTAAATATGGAACGTAAGTATAGGTTATAAAATAAAGTTGATTATATGCTTTTTTTTATCATTGATATATTAAATGTAAATAGAAAAAGTATTAATGATTTTTTTAAACTATAAGATATAATATAATTATGAAAATATATTCTTTTAGAAAATGTTTATATATGCAAAAGGAAACATATAGTACGAATGAAAATGTTGAAAAAAACAATGGAATACCCATTGAAAATATTCGCAATTTTAGTATAATAGCTCATGTTGATCATGGTAAAAGTACCCTTGCTGATAGACTACTTGAAATGACTGGTGCCATTAAAAAGAATTCAGGCAAACAAGTATTAGACACATTGCAAGTAGAAAAGGAACGTGGAATAACAGTTAAAGCTCAGACTGCTTCTCTTCGATATTCATATGAAGGACAAAATTATCTTTTAAATTTGATAGATACGCCAGGCCATGTAGATTTCTCATCCGAGGTATATCGTTCATTAGCAGCTTGTCAAGGTGTCGTATTATTAGTTGATGCAAATGATGGAGTACAAGCACAAACCGTTGCCAATTATTATTTAGCTGTTAAAACAGAGCTTGTAGTAATACCTGTGATAAATAAAATAGACTTACCAGCTGCAGATCCTGAAAGAGTAAAAAAACAGTTGGAAGCATTGTTTGGTATAAAGGAAAGCGACATATTAAAAATATCTGCAAAGTTAGGTACAGGTGTTGAAGAATTATTACAAGCTATACTTAAAAGACTTCCACCTCCACCTGTAAATAGAAATTTACCATTTCGTGGTCTAATATTTGATAGTTGGTATGAGAAATATAAAGGTGCTGTTTCCTTAATCTATGTGAAGGATGGAAGTTTATCTGTTGGGGAACAAATTATATCCTTTGCTAGCAAAAAGTCTTATGAAGTTAAAAATTTAGCAATTTTAAGACCTGAGGAAGAACATGTTAAAACTTTGTAAGTATAGGATTTTATTTACGTATATTTTCTTTTATCTTTAAATATATAATATATATGATTTTAATTAAAATGTATAACTTATAGATTCGCTGGAGAAGTTGGAAGTATAAAGTGTAATATGAAAACTTCTAAAGAAGCATACATTGGGGATACTTTATACAAAAAAGGTCATCCTGTGGAACCATTAGGTGGATTTAAAGCAGTAAAGCCGATGGTATTTGCAGGAGTGTATCCTATGGATCAATCATACTTTATTAAATTACAAAGTGCGATTGAAAAACTTATTTTAAACGATAGTGCTGTGGAAGTTGTACCAAATTCTAGGTATTTATTATTTTAGCGAATATACAATAAAATGAAACGCGTTTATATACTTAAATTATTAATTAATTTTAGTGCTGCACTTGGACGCGGCTGGCGAGCTGGATTTTTAGGACTTTTGCACATGGAAGTATTTATACAAAGGTTGGAGCAAGAATATGGTGCAGAACCAATAGTTACAGCACCTGGTGTTACATACAAGGCCAAAATTATAGGAAAAAAAAATATAAAACTAAATAAAGGGGAAGAAATGGTTGTCTTCAATAATCCTATTGATTATCCTGACAGACAAATTACAGAAGAATATTATGAACCAATGATTATTGGTACTATTATAACACCAGGTATATCTTTGTTCAAATAAAAATTTTATAATTAATCCTTATGTAATTTCTACTATTATTGGCATATATTAATACACATATGCTTAAATAGATGAATATATAGGACCAATAATTTCTTTATGTCTTGAAAAACGTGCGATTGAAAAATTAAGTCAAAGTATCGGAAATAATAGAACGTTGTTAAAATTCTCAATGCCATTAAATGAAGTTGTTCTTGATTTTCACGATACATTGAAAACCATCACTTCTGGATATGCCAGTTTTGATTATGAAGATGATGAATATCAAGTTTCAGAAATTGTTAAGGTAAAAGTCACAATAATTCATTGAATATATCGACACTCAATAATTGGTGGTTATTTTCTTCTTTCAGTTAAATATTCTTTTAAATAGTAACGTCGTAGAAGAATTAAGTACAATAGTACACTGTACTAAAGCGAAAGAAATTGGTAAAAGAATGTGTACTAAACTTTCGGACATCATTCCACGACAATCGTTTGAAATATCAATTCAAGCAGCTGTCGGAGGCAAGATACTTGCAAGGGAAAATTTGAAAGCATATAGGAAAGATGTAACAGCAAAATTGGTAAACAAAAGATACAGAGTTATATTTTTATTTGCTATAAATGACGATCGATTGAATGTAAATTGTATGTTAAAAAAAACTATGTATATTTATACATTTTTTTAGTATGGAGGTGACGTCACAAGAAGGATGAAATTATTGACAAAACAAAAAGATGGAAAAAACAAGATGCGTATGATTGGTAATATTATCTTACCGCGAGAAACATTTATAAATGTACTTAAAAGATAATTTATCCTGCATATATAAATGATTTTTACATCGAAGATATAAAAATAAGAAGAATATATTAAATACAAAAGAAAATTTATAAGTTCAAACATTAAAGCACATACATTTTATGGTTCACTGAAGAATGATTTGCTGAAGAGGAGTTAATTATATTAAAAAGAAGGAGAAAAATAGTTTAAGATCACAGGATAACTAATCGATTGTTGACCTGTTTACGTTCATCGGCTTATAAATAAAATTGGAAGTATATCTAGCGGAAGTAAGTCATTCAAGAATTAAAACAAAACGTACATATATACATATAACGTTGAGGATAAAATTGGAACGATTTACGGTTGATTGCTCTTCCTTATGAACGCGATGTTATTGGTGGTGTTAAGTTAAAACAAGATGACAGGTGCTTTCCTAACGTGTGTAATGAACACGTCTACCTTGTTGAATTTTTTTGCCGGATCGTTTATAAGGGAAGTCATCCTCTTTTGGATCGTCATACTACGTACGTTCCTCTCATCGGTTAAGGATAACTACCGTGTATCTTCAACGTGAGTATTTCCATCTCCAAGGAAGAGAGTCTATTATTTTTGGGAAATTTATTTTTCTTCAAAATTTCTTCAAAATTGCTTCTAAATTTACTCAAAAATCAAATAAATACTTTGTTATTAATGTATCATTTTTTGGTTTAAATTTAATTTAAGACTATGAAGAGAGATATTATTTACGTATACATATTTTTTACTAATATTATCTACAGTATACAACTGTAGAAAATAATGTAATACTAAAAGAAAAAACTTGTCATCGTTTTATAAGAAACAACATTTCAATGCTTACATTACTCTGCGCTTTAAAATTGTTTTATTACGTATTTGTACTATGTTATATAACGTATTACAAACGTTCGTAAATCTGAGCTATACAAAATAACAACAATGCAAATACGTATGTAGGAATCTTTAGCTCGTTTGCATTCCTTTCCGTACGCGACGGAGTCGTCCATTGGCGCCCGATCGGTTTAGACGTGTCTTTATTCTTTTTTTGTTTCCTTTCATTTTGTGAAGTATATAATAAGGACCAACGAAAAGGATTAAAATCGTTTACTTGTGTAGTTATTTCTTCTAATAATATTATTATTATTATTATTTATATTGACATAGATCCTATTTAATATATCAAAATTATAGTCCTTTAAAAAGAAGAATGTTTGGATCGAATAATTAATAAACAAAAAATATAGTGATACTTGATGAGAGTGACTTAGGCAAGAGTTAGTACGAGTGTAAGAGAAAAGCTCAATTGGTGATCTTTACTTATGTCACCTGTAAGAAATCGCGCGTCAAGTCGATTAGGGGTGATTCTTTCGAGAATGACTTTTATATTGAGGAGAGATTCACGGAAATCTACCGGCCGTTGATTTTGCAATTTATGAAAAATATTCAAATAAAACACAACTGGAAGAATACACAGACGTGAAAGACGTGAGAGAGCGTGGAAGAGGTAAATAAATAGAATATTTAAATATTAACTGTTACTCAAGATTCAAGATAAGTTAATGTTTTCGAGTTTGAATTAAGATTTTCATTGCAATGTAAACATTAAATTTTTTTAAATTTCATTTGAAATTAGAGAAAAAAATAAACAGAGAAAGAGAGAGTAAGAGAGAGAAAGAGAAAAAGGAGAAATAGAAAGAGATTAGATTAGAAATCATCTAAAGTAGGAGGAGGAAAAAGAGTAGGAGGAGAAGGAAATATAAAAAGATAAATAATTATCTTCTTCTTCTTCGTCGTGAAGACGAAGTACGAAGTTTGTATCTTGTTAAGGACAGATGGTGTTGCTGCTGACTCGTTACAGCGTACACATGAAATAAATAAATGATTATTTTTGTAATTATTAATTTTGTTAGACCAAACGAAAGAAAAAGAACTAAATAAATATGCGATTAATTATTAATTGTTTTAGAACGTTGACAAAATGGACAGAAATGTTAGGAAAACATGTCTTTGAATATGAAGTAAATGTTTGTCATTTATTTCTTCGTGAAGAATTAAAACGAAGTTTTAAGATTCCCAAGCTAAGTAGCAAGACTTTTAATCGGAAAAGTCGATCACCCTACTATGAGAGCATTCGTCAAAGATGAGTGCATTCCCTCTCGGTGACTATAACTGCATTCGTGTATTATCTTTCCGACTGTTATACACACGTGTTTATTACTTGTCTTAGCCAGTGGCGCTTCAAATAATAATGAAAGAGAGGGAGAGAGAGAAAGAAAGAGAAATTAATGCGTGCAACAATAGGTCATAGTCTGGGATGAGTCCTCTTTTCAATTTACGGACAGTCCGTTATCAAGGAGAGCATGTGGACTCTCCTTACAGTCCTTTTCTTTTCTTATGATCGTCGCAATATAGAAAATCAATGAATATACACGGGATATTTATCATTGGAAAAACTCGTCATTTAAAAATCAAGGAATGGTGCGCATAAAAAGTGTGTTCCAATTTAATGACAAATTAGGACACGATGTAATTTTTCTTTTTTTCTTAATATATACACTAAAACATATTTTTATAAAAAAAAAAAAAAAAAAAAAAAAAAAAGAAAAGCATTTGATTAAATAATTTAATATATATTTATTTTTTTTCTTGTATTTTTTATCGGTATTTTGCCGTTTGTCAATAAATCGACATTGTTTTATGCTTGTTTCTACTACATGTTTCTTTATCGGATATATCGAAGTTAATCTTGACCTTTTATAAATAAAAGCTAATGCTGCGATTTTTTTCACGAATGCGAAATAAGCGTAACAACAACACTACATAAAATGATGTATTTTCAATTTAATTGGGAAAGAGTCGAAATTCAACGAGAAAGAGAAGCACATCGCACCTTCGATATTGCTATAATGTTGACTCATGAGTACGACGGATACAACTTTATCGTAGGTCATTGAATTTGTTTCAATGTATTTCGCGATTCTTTGAAAATATAAGAAAAAAGAAGTTATTTAAAAAAAGGAAAAGAAATAACAGATTAACCAGATTCCTTGCATAACTTTTAAAAGAGAAAGAGAAAGAAAGTTGTTATCGTCTTTAATGTACATTCGCAAACGTCAATATCAATATTATATTATTAGACATTGATAAATTTTATTAGAGTCGCTAATTCTGTTCAGTATCACCGTATTCAGATATTTATGTATTTTGTTTTGATCTAACAATGAATGGTAAAGTCATTGTTTGCTTGCACCGTGTCTGGCACGCGTCTACTAAGTGATATTGCAAAGGCAAATCGGTAATTCCTATAATAATAAATTATTATGATTGACTATCAATTTCGCGAAACTCTTTCCAAGAATCTAATATTTATAATTTCATCATAAATATCCATGCCTATAGAATTTGATAAAATCAATTTTGATTTTCGCGTTAAATATATGAAAGCAAAGTAATTATTTATCAATGGAATACCTACTATTTTTATATACCTTGAAAATGATTTCGTATTTAATTTCTTTTTCTTTTTCTTTCTCTCTCTCTCTCTCTCTCTCTCTCTCTCACTCACACACACACACACTCTCTCACTCTTTTTCTATTTTAAGAAAAAAATTGGTGTCTACTGTCTCAGCTTTTCTGGAATCAACGGGTTGAGCTCCAGTCACCGTGGCGCCAGAATGCGTCTCGTGGATAACGGCCCTATTTTCGCATATCAAAACAACAGTATAATTTATCTTGGAGATTCAATGACTCGGAGCTAAAATATAAACAAGCAGATCGACCACTATCCTCATTCCGCGTTATGCGATGTGCACAATGTGGCAATGACCAGCCAAATGTTTTAACGATAGCCGCGATTTTCCTGCAACCTGGATGATTATATAAAATGTTAGGCGATTAATAATATTTAACGATTGATCGATCAATATCTTTAAATCTAAATCTATATTTGATCAATGCATAAAATAATAATTATTTTATTTAGTTTAAATACATCACGCAAAAGGAAATGAATTTCATTATCATTATGTCAATGCATGTAATTTCAATTATAAATTTAGCCGAATTAATTACTCAAAGCAAAGTGCACATTGATAATGATATTCAATAAGATGACCTATATAGACCCTAGGACTATATTATTAAATTTTGTTCTTATAAAATAAACTCGTGTTTTTAAACTTTATTTACAGATGTCCACATATCGATTCAACGTCTTTGCGACGTTTGTGCTCGTCGTTACATCTTTCTTAATAAAATTAGGAAATACTCAATACTCGTACCAAGATAAGCGACAATCGATGACATTGCACAAGTATTGCGGAAAAAATTTATCTAATGCACTAGGATTGCTTTGCGACGGAGTTTATAATTCTATGTTTAAAAAGAGCGGGCAGGGTAAGTGTTACGATAACATTGTATTGATTGATATTTATATTTTATACATTTAATTCATATTTCGTATTTCATTTTGTTAAACATTTAGCTTGTTTCCTATATAATTTTTAATTAATTAAAAAACTCAAGTAAAATCATATGAATTATTTGTAATTTAGTAAAAACTTAAACGCGTATGTGTTTATCATATTCCCCATTTTGATCGAAAATAGAAATATTTTTATGCTCATCTATATTAGATTTACATGAATTGGTTCGTAAATCTAACTTTTGATTAAAAAATGAATAAAATACATGTTGTTGTTTTATTTTCAGAGATGGAAATAGACGATTATCCATTCGGTTTCGATGATTCGTATCCATTTAGATCGGCAGTTACAGCAAACGCCATGATGGGTCGTTTTGCTGGTAGACGTTTCCGAAGGGAATCTAGGGGTGTTTATGACGAGTGCTGTGTGAAACCATGCTCGATTCAAGAATTAACTAGTTATTGCGGTAGTGTTACACAATAATTACTGACGATTAGTAAGATCGATTTTTGCTGTACCGTTTCTATCTTCGTCTACTACCATAAATGTGATAAAACCGATGATTGGTATACATGAGCTCTCTGCTTAACAATTCTTCATTTCTGTAATACCATAACGTGATAAAAAACGATTAATGTATACGTCTTAACGCGTCATTTAATAAGAGCTTTATACACGGCTAAATGCATCTAAAAAATAATACGAGGACCAAAAATCATTCGTCCACTGCTTACTTACGAGAGTTCGTACTAAAATAATGTATTTGTCAATGTTCCAAAATATTTGACTTAATCGACGATTTACAATTGAACTTTTCGTTGTCATGTAATTAATTTGGTTGGTGCTTTTTGTAGAAGTCTGTGAAGTAATCGATCAACGCATAAAATTAAGATCAATGATTAATCATGCGCGTAGAAACTTGTGTATCATTGACGAATTACTTCGTACACTTCTACAATAGAAAAACAAATTTTGATTTCTCATCAATGAAAAGATTGTGATTGTTAATCATTTATCGAATAAAATAATATTGTAGTATAAACAAAATATGTTTTACGAACATTTGTCATCGAAGTAATGTTGAAAACGTTCGAAGTGTGCTTTTTAGCGAATGATTTCCTTACTTTATTATGATAATATTACCTTTACGATCACGAATATTTAACGATAAGTATCCACTAAAATTGTGTAATTGAAAATGAAAGGTTGAAATAATTTGATTACGATCGTAAATTGAGAAGCATGCGATGAAATATATATGTGTATTTTCATTTAAATTGAACCAAACAAAGAACAAAGTAGGAACAAACAAGAATCATGATTAGGGCGCGTTCGAATTTGCGAATATTGATCGATTACGGATTTCGATTCTTAAGTTTTTATTCTTAAGATGTGGAATACGAATTTGTAGATTCGTGTAGCCGAATATTCGGCATCTCTTAGATATATAAATTTATTAGAAAAATATTTAAATAAAAAAAAAAAAGAGAAGGTGAACTCTCTCTCTCTTCCAGAGAAAAATATAATATAAATAAATATAAATATAATATGTGTTGTGTGTGTGCACGCGTTCGTAACTGTGCTATGTTTCGTAAAGATAGTTTGCAACGAAAATTTGACTGAATGGTATCTTTTATATGATTTTATAGATCGATTTTTTGATTGTTTTACGATCCTAAGAAAATATTTGGTTGTATAGTGCAACGCAAAATGCGTATTAACGTTATTCTTGAAAGCATACCTTGTTGATACATGTTAATAAAACGCGTTTTGTAAAAACCATCACGGTTTAATCGTTGCATTGTAAACAGTCCATTGTATTCGTCCATAGTAGCTATCACGATTGTTTTTCAATTTATTTATATTTTAATCGTTATACAAACATACACATCAAAGATACAAATGATAATCGTGATGTAATATTGTTGCACCGCAATTAAACAAATTTTCGCTAATGATTTGTAATATTTTTTCTTTTGTATTTGTTATAACTGCGTCTTGAAAACTATCGCTTTTTATTAACTGATCGATCGAATATATATTGAAATAAAAATATAATAATACATGTTATGTTTATCACATGTTTTTAACTACTCCTATCGTATTATGTAAGCACGTACATATATATATATATATATATATATATATTAAAAAGATTAAAAAGAAACCTGACAAAATTTATATAATCGTTTCTTATATCTCAAATTTAAAACTAAATCATTATAAAGATAATTTGATAAAATTCTACTTCTGTGATAAGCAAAATTAAAGTTTTAATAAATCTAGTCTAATCGATAAATGTGTAAACGATATCGACCAATGGTCAGTCGAGAATTGGTCTGATATTTTATTTTACCTGTAGAATTATGTTAAGTATTTATTTGAATAATTCATTTATATTCATTATAAATATAATGAATCATGTGAATAAGCATTTTTACTTGATATTTAATTATTATTTAACAAAAGTATTGTAAAGTGCGATGTACTTACAATTATAAGAAATGAGATAAAAGCTTACTAACTTCATAGAGGGTGTCAAAATCGTTACACTTAACATTGCTCTTTTATCTCTACAAATTAAAATATATTTATAACTTATTCGTTGAAAAGAGAGAGAGAAGTTATATCAAAATGACAGATACGTATTTTCCATTTGTGTATTGGGCTCAAACAGAAAATCAAGTTACATTAAAAGTTGACTTGGCTGATGTTAAGGTATGGAAATTATTGTTAATATTTAATTGACTGAATTCTTTTTTATTAAGATTTTAATATATTTTATAGGATATTAATATTAATTTGCAAGATAAAAAATTGCAAGTTAGCGCATATGGTCAAGGTGCAAGAGGATGCAATAATTACGGTTTCAGTATTGACTTTCACGAACTTGTTATTCCTGATGTATGTTTGATTATTAGTCTCTTATTAATGACTTAAAGTATTATTCTCTCTATGCATGTTAATTGATTTTGTAGGAGAGCAATTATAAAGTTATTGACCGTCAAATAGATTTTACATTGAAGAAAAAGTATAGCGGATGGTGGCCACGATTGACTGGCCAACCACAGAAACCACCATGGCTTAAAATAGATTTTGACAAATGGAAGAGTGAAGACATGGATGATAATGAGTATGAGAAGAGAGATGTTTGTAACGACTACCCTGATATGTATGATAAATTACATAAAGAAGAACTTGGGTATAGGAAAGGTATAAATATTATCTACAAATTAATATCGATACTTATTATATATATATATACATTATACTAATTTAAACGATTTATATATAACAGAGGACTTTAAGAAAGTATACTTAATTATCTACAACTTATGTCAATTAGTCGGATTTCTTTATATTCTTACTGTAATGGGTTTGAAATATTCTCGGGATGGGCCAGGTTTGTATTTACTATATTGTATCAATTGTTACATATACTACTTTATTTTAGCTCAAATGTAATTATTTTATTAATTATAGCTTCTATGAAACACACATATACTGTTGTTGGAAATCCAATGAAATTTATACAGTTGCTACAATTTTTGGAAGTTATGCACCCTTTATTTGGATATACTAAAGGTAGTATGATGATTTCTTTCTTGCAAGTTGGAGGCAGAGCATTTGTCTTATTCTTCATGATAGAAGGGGAACCACGTATGCAAACTAAACCAGTTGTATTTTATCTTTTTATTGTTTGGAGCGCAGTTGAAGTTATCAGATATTTATACTATAATTCACAATTATTGAATGTAGAAATTTATTTCTTAACATGGTTAAGGTATACAATATGGATACCGCTGTATCCTTTAGGTATAATATGCGAAGGTATTATTATCTTACGCAACATTCCATATTTTGAAGAAACACAACGGTTTACCGTATCTTTACCAAACTCTTTAAATTTTTCTCTTCATTTTCCAACTTTTCTGCGCATTTATTTATTAGTATTATGTATACCTGGTATTTACACTGTGATGTCACATATGAATCATGCTCGTTATAAAAAACTTGGAAAATCTAATATTAAAAGAAAATACACATAATTTTATTTTATAATTTATATATAAGAACAAAAGATATTTTTATCTCTAGTATAGAGTAGACATCACAATAAAGTATCAGTTTTGTTATGCTTTTCATGGATAAGGAATATAATTATTGATTGTTAATTACTGTGATTATTAGTCCAATATATTTCCGTATTTCTTTAAGCTTTTCTACAAATATTACAGTAAATATTGAATTATCAATCGTAAGGAAAGATTAAGCTTTAATTTATAATTAGACTAGTCTTTAATCATATGATTCGATTACTTGGAAGTAATCGTCGTGAAATGTATGTTTATTTATTATTTTTTATTTATTTTGTTGTTATTATTATTATTTAAAACCAGTGAAAATGATGAAAAAAATGAGTATAATTCTTAGTAATTATTCTCTAAATACTTCATAGCTTATTGAATTAATTTTTCTGAATGAATGTAGATCAATAAATTAAAATTCTGTCGAAAACGTAATTTTAATTTATTTGTCGAGTGCACAGATAATGTACCGCACACACATATATATTTAGGTATTAAATATCATATTATATTAGATATCTAATATATATATTAAATATTAATATCATTATTAATAATTAATATTATTTATATATAAATATAAATATTATATTTTTAAATAATCGACTTGTGCTAACACGTGATTCTCTATTCGTCAAATAATAAATTCAAAGTAACAATGTTGAAATAAAATCACACATGAGTCATTTTTCGTTGGAAATACCAGATTATTACCCTCATTTTAATTTCCCATGAAGTACGATTAACTTAATTACGTGTATTCATACATCTTCCTCATTTGTAATAATTTGTTCAGGAAATTCTGCAATAGACGATAATTACGATGATCTATAACTTCTATTATTATGTATAAGTATAATAGGTGACAAAATAAGAATATAATTGTAATAGGAAGTAATTAATTTTATTTTATGATAGTGTCATATTTTATATATAGAATGTAACTATTGTTTGGAGGGAAAAACATCTCGTTAGAGACTTTTATCGCGCTTGGATATTTCACTTAATGTGTTTCAAAATTATAACAAAAGAATATATAAATATAGGGCATGTAATGCAAAATATATATAAATCTGAATAAGACCGCGAAATGTTAGTTTTTTTATTATCCATCATATCGACTAGTTCAAACACCAAGTTTTGTTCTTTTCTTTATTTTTTTTCATTTACATATATATCTGAAAAATGTTTAACTTTTTATATATATCAGTGATAGTGTGCTTTATATTTGATTGCATTAAAGCACAAAGTAATACGATTGTTTTCGATGGTACGACTGCGAATATCAATACGGTAACAAGTATGTATCAATTTATTTTTCAACAATTAAATTATAAAATTATTTATAATGCGTAATTTTAATGTTATTAATATTTTAGCTACTATTACTACAACTCCTGGATGTAGATGTGTAGCTGCTGGTACTTGTAATGGTGGTAATGATGGTAATGAAATTGATATAAGAATTGTTAACATGGTACGGATATATTTATTTAATGTCATTTATTATATATATTATATATTTGTATTTGTATATTATAATGTTTATTTTATTATATAGGGTACAATGTGTTCAGGAGGATTAGTATACTGCTGTACATCAGGAAATCTAGGTGATACTAGTTGCGGTTTAAGAAAAATAGCTCTTACTGCTCAACCAGAAGGAGTAGCCAGTTATGGTGAATATCCTTGGCAAGCAGCTCTCTTAACATCAAGTAATTCATATATTGGATCTGGAGCTCTTATTAATGCTAATCATGTACTAACTGTGGCTCATAAAGTAACTCCTTACTTGTAAGTCTAACATCATTTCAGCTTTATTTTTTTATTATGTTAAAACATCAATATTTTATACGTATTTCTCATAGGAATGGTGGTCTTAAAATAAGACTTGGCGAATGGAATGGACAAAGTACTTCCGAACCTTATCCATATCAAGAGTACAATGCACAAAAAATATTTGTCCATCCTTCTTATAATTCGAAAAATCTTCAGAACGATGTAGCAGTTGTTAGATTAAGCTCATCTGTACCTATCTCGAGTAGCCCTAATATTAATACCGTATGCCTTCCTACTTCAGTACCAAATGCACCAACAAGGTATATTTATTTTATTTTTATGACATAGTATATTGAACTGATGTAAAGTGAATTATATATTTTTCTAATATATTAATATATTAATATGATTATTTTTAAAGATGTTGGGTTTCCGGTTGGGGAAAGAATGCATTTGGTGGTAGTTATCAGAGTATACTCAAAGAAGTTGATGTTCCCATAGTAAATCAAAATAATTGCGAAACTGCTCTTCGTGGTACTAAAGTGGGACAACTCTTCACGCTCGACAAAACTAGCTTTATATGTGCAGGAGGTGAATCAGGAAAAGATGCGTGCACGGTAGACAATTTGACTTATTTAATTCTATTGTATAACATTTACAATTATTAAACAATTAATATATAATTTTGTAGGGAGATGGAGGTGCACCATTGGTATGTCAGTCAGGCAATCAATGGCAAATTATTGGGATGGTAGCATGGGGTATTGGTTGTGCAAACAGTGGAATTCCAGGTGTATATGTCAATGTGATTAATTATATTAATTGGATAAATCAGAAATTGACTGAGTCATAAAATATTATTCGTAAGATAATAGATCTAATAATAGATATGCTAATTCATGAGGATAAATCGTCTGATTAAACGACGTTATTAAACTTCACTCAATACGTACTACATTATATACTACAATAATTTTGTTGTTTTTCCACATATCTATTACTATCGTTAATATAGATCCTTATTTCTCATCAAAAAATACAGAAGTAAATAGAAACTAACAAGTCCACTCTTTGATTTATCTTACCTTTTTTTTACGTATCTTTTCCCTTATATAGAACACACATTGGCAACGAGATACAAATCAAGAGGAAAAATAATAGATTAAAGAATAAAAAAGAAACAAACAATTGACTGTGAAACTCTTTTAGAAAATCGTGAACCATTTCCTTTTTTTTCCGCGTATTTAAAATATTAATTTAAATTTAATATTTATTTTGTTGTTGTTAAAAACCATATGCAAAATCTTTGGTACATTTTTACAAATATTTAGAACTATATTTGTTATAAAATTTTAAGTAACAATATAAATGTTATATTTAGTTTTTGTGTGTGCCTTCAGAAATGCGTTTTAAAAAATAGCCATTATATAGAAGCTCAAGTAAAAGAAAATCAAAATGAGTAGATGATAAATCCAACGATAATCACCTGTAACAAAAAGAAAAATATATTAATCATACAATCAAAAGTGATACAATAGCCTGACATATAAATCGTCCCATTCGTAGATGCACTTTTTAATTGAATTCTCTAATTATTTTTATCAAATCTCTATATTAATCGTTGCAATTAAATTAAATTTAAACGCGTGACTTTAAATTATGAAATGTAATAATAAAGAAATATTGGAAAAGTTAAAATACTAAGTTACTAAAAAAAATAATATCTATTAATTATTGTGAAATATTT